CACGGCGCGTGCCGGCTGCGACAGGTGCCGGCCGCGTGACCACTGACCTGTGGACTGGAAGACGCCGGGGTTGCACAGGCAGTAGCGGGACGCGAACGCCTCCATCATGCGGTCGATTTTCTGGGCCTCCCCCGGGAGCCGGAAGCTCCACAGGAACTGTCTAGAGAGAGGGAGCCAGGGAATGGCCATCCGTTCCCAGGGGCCTGGCCTCACTTGCTGGCCCAGGAAGCGCAGCAGGTGCAGGAGGGGGCGCTGCCTCTACGCTGGGCCTCAGCTGTCCTGAGCCCCGATCCCAGTGCTGCTCCCGGTGGGCCTTGGGGCAAGGCGGGGGGGGGATCACATGCAGAGCCCAAGGACCCAGCAAGCCCTGTGGGGCAGGCAGCCCTGTCCTCAGCACCCACTGACACCTGCAGGTCCAAGGCAAGACCCTGTGGCTCTGGCCAGAGACTGAGCAGCCACAAGAAATGGAAACCTGGCCGCCGTGACTGTGCCCCCAGACTCATCCCAGACGTGCCAGCCTGCACCTCTCTACGTGGCAGAGTTTTCAAAAATGGAACCCGGCTGCAGCATCTGGCTGGGGGAGGGGCTGAGCGCAGGGTGCCACACCTCAGCCCACAGCGAGGGGCGAGGGGCGAGGGGCTGAGCGCAGGGTGCCACACCTCAGCCCACGGCGAGGGGCGAGGGGCTGAGCGCAGGGTGCCACACCTCAGCCCACAGCGAGGGGCGAGGGGCGAGGGGCGAGGGGCTGAGCGCAGGGTGCCACACCTCAGCCCACGGCGAGGGGCGAGGGGCGAGGGGCGAGGGGCTGAGCGCAGGGTGCCACATCTCAGGCCGCAGAGTGGGAGGAAGGCAGCAAACAGCCGCCAAACCTCGTTCAAAACAAGAGACCGAGAGATCGCAGCAGCCCCGCAAGGCAAGCACAGCTTCCGTCCCTGAGGGTCCCAGTCTCCCTCGGGCTCTGAGCGCTCACACAGCTCGAGAGAGGCCGACAGGACGAGGGACACAGGTCTCTCCTTCTCTGTGACCACACCTGACGACACACTCACCTTAAGGCTTGTACGAGGTTGAGATCGGCAAACTCGTGGAGCTCGACAAAAGCCTGCAGCACTTTAATGTTAAATTCATCCCTGGGAGGAGAGCGGAGCACGGTCACACCCACTGCTGACCATGCCAGTCATTTTCAGATATACATCTCCTCAAGCCCCTTCTGTGGTCTCACTTCGTATGACTGTAAGTTCAGGATTCCCCCGTACATCTGTGTTCAGGCTTGGTACCAAGGGGACCCTGCGGGGGACTGACTTCATTTCCGAGCTGCTCAGAGGGAAGGTGGGGAGACCGTCTGAACCAAAGGGGTGCTGGCCAGAAGGCACCGTCCTGGGTGCTCGGGGCCCATTCTCTCTCCATCTTCAAAACCACCCGGGGAGCCAGCACTCAGCTCCGGGGAAGCACCTCCCGGGGTGATGGGCCCGAAGGGGAGGTGCTCACCTCTCCCCCAGGTAGTCCCCGATGACGGTCTTGTTGAGGCCCTCCCCTTTGTAGAGGAACTGGGCGACGTCTTCAGGGGCGCTCTGCAGCAGGTCATTCTCGATCAGAAACTGGATCCCCTAGGAGTGGGAGCAAGGAGGCACTGCTCAGGGTGCCACTGGGCTCGTCCGCAGAGACAGTCTGAACACAGGTTTGGACACAGCAAAAATTACGGCCCTGCCTGGATGGATCAGTCAGCAGGAGGATCCCCCCAACACCCCAAAAGGTGGCGGGGACGATCCCCAGTCAGGGCACATACCTGGCTTTCGGGTTCAATCCCTAGTCGGGGTGCGTATGGGAAGCAACAGATTGATGTTTCTCTCTCTCTCTCCCTAAAAAAATCAATAAAAACATATCCTCAGGTGAGGGTTAAAAATAATAAATAACACAACGGCACAACCTGAGTCTCAGAACCAGAGCACAAGAAAGTACACGGTCTTCCTAGCCACTTAACAGGTCAGAAGACAAGCAGGTTACTGCACAAACCACTGTACGTAGTAATTAGAGATTATAAAGTAACCACAATGCCCGATTTCCCAAGCTCGGGAGAACGGTGCACTTTGTGTCTGAGAAGACATGTCATGGGTGGGCCAACCTAATACCCGCTCCCAACCCCCCTTCCTTGCCACCCTTCGCCCCACAATCACTTTCCCTGCCTCCCGTGGAACTAGAAAGGACCGTGGCACAGTTCTGGTCAAACAGACAGGGAAGCCTGTGGGGAGGACCTCTCGAGAACGCTGCTGGGTCCCCTGAGCAGACACCGCCCCTCCTGCCGCCAACACAGATGTGACCGTCTGAGCCCTAACGGCCATCGTACGAGGGAAACACAGGACCTGGCACCTGCCTCCTGGGAGCCACCGGACTCTGTGCAGCCCCTCTGTGAGCCTTCTTCACGGGACTTACCTGTGGCCGAACGCGTTAGCCGACTGCTGTGCCCCCAGCTAAATGCAGTCAAAACCCAGGCCATGGGAAGGGCACGGAGTGCAAACACTAAATAAAAGGCTGCGTGGGGCTGTCCCGGACAGTTGTGGACTCTGTCTCATGAGGAGCCCTAATAACAGCAGACATTTACCCTGACACAGTTGCCCAGCTGGTCCATGGCAGGTGCCAGAAAGGCTGCAAGGGGATCGGGGTGCTGGGCTGTCTGCCCGGGGGCACTTCTGCGAATCCAGAGACAGTCTTCCTGCCGAGACCCAGTGCCCAAGACCAGCGCTCTCCCACTGCCCACAACCCACCTGAAGGGTCTACCCAGTGTTTTGGTTTTTTTAATACATGAATGTCCACAGTACCCTTATTTAGAATTTCTAAAAACTGGACACAAGCCGAGGGTCAGTGCCTAAGAGAACAGACAAGTACATTCCGGTATTTCCATGTGATGGAGACCACACAGCAAATGGACGGAACAAACACGGGCGACACGGGCGAGCCTGGCAGACACAACGTGGCGTCAAAGGACTCCGTGTATTTTAATTCCATCTATGTAAAGTTTCAATGATCCGCAGTGAGTGGAATTCACCCACCAGGAGGAGACACCAGAAGGCACCCTGAGATGTTCTCCAAGTGCGGCCGGTCCTGGGCGGGGCCGGCCAGGGCTCGGGGGGTCTTGCATCTGCCCACCTCTCTAGCTGTCTGCAGTCATTAGCAAGCCCTGCAGCCACACAGCCGGGCCACACCAGTGGCTTGTACCCCCCAGAACTGAACAGGCTGGGGGTGAGGCTTTCGTGAGCTCCTCTGCACGCTGGTGGCCTGCTCTAGAATTCCACGCTCCCAGGACACCAGGGGGCTTCTGGAGGGTGTTAGGAAACCACCTCCAAGAATCTGAGAAGAAAACTGGCTCAAACAAGGCCCCGTCTTCTGTGCTTAGCGATGACGCTCGGAGGGCAGAGGGGGCCCCGTGAGAAGCTCCAGCTCTCTCTGCGAGAGACTGAGGCCCCGGTCGTGGGAGACGGAGACACTGGGGTGACGCCGGCCAGGGACTGGAAGAGAAAATGGAACCAACGCCAGAGGCACGGCGACCAGCTCTGGAGCAGAAAGGGACGGTGCCTGTCTCATTTCCTAGGACTTTTCACAACTCCCTGCCTTTGTATCAAGGATAAGGAATGTCCTATCACATGTCTTTGATGATATTTATAAAATATAAAAATATCCTGCTTTTGATGTTTCCTTCCAATGCTTCTGCAGGCCTGTTTCCTCCCGTTAGTCCTGTTTGTGAGTTTAGCGTGTCTTTCACAGTGTCAGCTTCCTCCTCAATTGCTGTCCATTGGCTGGCTCCTGTTGGGTGGTCACCTTTGTATTTACGACTCCCCGGTAGCCTAACCAGCCGCCCTCAGTTCCTGGTTTGTACTGGACCTGCCCCAGGGACCCGGCAGAGGAGCAGGCGACACTCCAGGTGGGTGCTCACTTAGCTGGTCTCTGTAGTGGGTGCTTCGCTGCCTCCTCGGCGATGGGGCCCAGAGGGCACGACCTGTTTTCATGGGCCAGGTGCCCATCTGCTTCCCCCACCTGGGGTCACACACTACTCGGTGGGAGCTCAGCAAGGAGGCGCAGTCCCCCTCTCGCGATCCTACGCCCACACCCACTGCTTCTGAGTGAGCTGACCCCTGACGGAGGGCTCCTGCTTGTTATACATTCATGTATTTTTAAAGGCGTTTCTAGGAAGTTGGGAACACAAAGCAGAGGCTCTGGAGTGTTTTTAGTGTTGCTGATATAATCAATCTTCCTCTAATTCACCTATAAGCCCCGTGCTGCTTCCGGACTCTAATGTAACAAACAAAAGAACAAATGAATGGAAGCTCCTGGCTAAAATGTTACCACTCTGTGACCTAAATTCTTTCCTACTGGCCTGAAACAAAGTATTTACTCTGACAACAGCCCTGTGTTCCACAATGTTGCAATGTTTATAAGGGGGTAGATAAAACTAAATTGTGTCTGAAGGATGTGAGATCATCTGCTGTTACGGGCTGAATGTCTATGTCCCTGAAAATTCATGTGTGGAAGCCCTACCCCCCCACGTGATGGCATTAGGAGGTGGGGCTTTGGGAAGTGACTTGGGTTATGAGGGCAGGGCCTGGGTCGGATGGGACTGGTGCCCCTGGAAGGAGCTCACTCTACTGTGTGAGGACACAGCAATAGGATGGCTGTCCCCAAGCCAGGAAGAGGGTCCTCGTTAGAACCTGACCGTGCTGGCTCCCTCGCCTTAGACCTCCAGCGTCCAGAACTGTAAGAAAATTCACTTCTGTTGGTATTTTGTTATGGCGACCGTCTGACTAATCCAGTGCCATCACCAACTCTACAGAACCAGGGATTTCTGATAATTTTTCCCAGCAAAAGTGAACCTGCAGACTAAACATGCCACCTGCTTCTATCAAACAACATAATCACAGATAAGTTGTCAAGTGAAACTAGTAATTAACATATTTTTTAAATCTTTTAGGCGAAAAGGACAGCAAAGCCAAGCCTGCAGAGCAATGTGCTGCAGCCCGGGCACCGCAGAGGAGACTCCACACTCGCAGGCATCAGGGCAGACTCCTACCTGCACACCAACCCTGAGTCGCAGGAGCTCGGGAGGGGCAGTGGTTCTTGGCTCAGGACTCTAAGCAAGCTCCACGCCTGCTCTGTGTCTCATTTTCCCCAACTGTGAAGCGGGAAATAAAACGGAACCTACCTCATACGGTTGCTGTGAGGGCTGAAGCATATTAATTAAGTTGCTTCCTTAGCACGGTTCTCCATAAACTTTAACCTGATTACTGTAAACCTGACACAATGTCAGTGAAATGAGATGGGTGGCCGGAGAGGAATTGTGCAGAGCAGCTGCCCCACTTAAGCAGGAAAGAATGTTTGCCTGTGTCTCACGAGCAAGATGTGAGCTAATCCAGGAACCTCTCGGTTGCTGTGCTACTTGCACCGCACGTTAAATCGTGAGGCCCAGCTTTTAAAGCATCCACTTGCTAAATGATCTCTTTCCTAGATGCTTCCAGTGCGTATGACAGCTGCTGACAATTCAACTCCGTAAACTCATCTTCTAGAGGAAGAAAACCTGTTACTAACCCCAAAGATCAAATCATTACCAAGTGCACACGTGTTCCGCGGACCACGCGGGGCTGATTTACGCCCCACGAGCAGACTCGGGAAGCAGCAGTAAAGCTTCCACTGGCACGAGCGCTAGTCACACAACGGGCCGCCCGGCTGCGGGCATGCTGGGCCTTAAGAGCATCCAATCTGCACACCATGGACGGGCTACAGTGGCATGGATTTCCTTAAGTGACTTTTGCAATTACACTTGCACTTATGAACCTAAGTTTATAGCTTGGGCCACGCAATCAACAAACATTTATTAAATGAACAAATAATTAACTAATTAGTACAGAGGCTCAATGCCACAAAAACTGCACAAAAACCAAGAAAGATGTTAAAAGCGAATGCCAACTAGAGACGAGCGAGGAAGGTCTGCCAGCTCCCTCTGCAGTCTGACATCACCAGGAGGCCCACCCTCCTATCCCCACCCCAGGAAGCCTGACACTGCGCGCCATGTGCTCTCGAGGCATCACGGTTCTACTCAGTCCTTTAGCTCAAGCTCAAAACAAGCAGCAACACGTGGCAAGTGTCACTGTGTTGGGATGTTTTTCTACATCTACCAATTTGAGGAAAGGCCCAGATACTGGCTGAAGTCTGGAAAGATCCTCAGTCTTCCACACAGACATGTTCTCAAGACGAATGAAAGAACATCCTCTTATGTGAACTGCTCAGCCCACCCAGGCCACCGAGTCTGCAGGCTGCCCGCCTGGCTCCACCTCTGCCCCCGGCCAAGGGGATAGCTCAGCAGGACGCAGAGGGCTCAGCCTGGCTTCCCCAAGGGGTGGGCTCTGGGAGACCCGTCCCCGCTCGGGACCTTGCTCAGGACCTCCTGTGGAAAGGAGGCCTTTCGGTCCAGGAGCCAGTTACGCGAACACTTTGGGGTCACCCTGTTCCTTAGCAGCCCTTTTCTTAATAAAAGTTTAACACCGACTATTTTTTAAGAGGTGGCCTGACCACTTTTATCCAACAGGGAGGTGGCCACTGAAGTCAGTTGTCAGTCAGCCGGCCAGCATCTAGGGGGCGGGCCGCGCACGCTCCTACCTTCTTGGGGTCCATGTTGAACTTCTTTCTCCCCATAGCGACGTGCTTGTTCCTCTGAGAAGCTTTGCTGTGCGTGAAACGAGGACACGGTTAGCAGGCGTCTGCACCCGGTGCTGCGGCCACCAGCCTCACGACACTCCCAGGGCTCCCCACCCTGGAGGTGGCAGCAGCCAGGAGTGGCCACCGTGACTCCTGCTCATATCTGACAGTGTCTTCGGGAAAAGCTAATGGTGAGAGGCAGCGGCTTAAAGCAGCACAGTCCCCGTTACACAGAAAGTCACCTCCGTGGAGGGCAACTCTGAGGTGCCACACTGCTCCCTGAGCCCACGAGAGGAACTGGAGCAGCCGGGAGAGCAGCTCAGATGGCTCCGCAAAAGGCTCCGAGTCCCAGCCCGCCGTCCGCCCACAGGGGCCGCGGTTACCTCTCCTCCACAGACGTCAGGTTGTCGATCTCGGTCATCACCTCAGCGATTTCATACTTCAGTCTCTGTGAACAGGAAGACAGGACTTTGGGGTGGGGCTGGGGACCTCTCCTTCCCCCTCCTGGACTCAGGAGCGCTAGCCGTCCGGGTGCTGCTTCCCGGGCTCTGGCCTGCCCCCCCACGAGTCTGGACAAACAATACTGCCTGACACAGAGACGGTCTCCTAGCTGGAGCCGCCCCAACACAGGAAAAAGAAACATTACAACTAGTCCACCTCGCGTCTCTAGGCAGGTTCTGGAGGATTCGTGGGCAAAATCAAGAAGGGACACTGGCAAGAACATCACAGGTGTAAACGATAAAACAGAGAGAGGAGAGCAGTGAGGCCCAGTCACTTCCTGCGGCTATGAAACGTCAGCTCACAGGCCCACCTGCCTTCCCCTTCCCGGTACCTGCAACCCCAGGAAGACCAGGGGGGACGGCGGGGCTGAAAGGCATTTAGCAACAGGCCCCTAACATGCCCCCCCCCCCCACCGCCCCTCTCAGGATGGTTTCCATCACTTTCCATCACATTGCATGAGACGGAGCACCATGGACAGAGCCCAGGGGACGACCACAGAACTTGCCCATGGCCCCAGACTCGCCAAGGACACGAGAAGGTACAGACACCCCGTCCCTCCACCACTTACTGGTGAGAGACCTTCGTCAACCCTCTTAACCTCCCTAGGCCTCCACATTCTCAACTCGAAAACGAGGCCATCAGAGCTCCAGAGGACTCCATAGGCACCATCACGACCTATGTCCAACTAGACCCGTCCCTTGGAAACATATCCTGTTCCTCAACCGAAGCTCCTATTCTGGGTGTCGGATTTTTCCAAGAACACAGGGTAACCTCAGAAGAAAAAGTTCCACGAATTATCATTCAAATACAAAGACGTCTTTATTAGAAAGCCTTTTTTTTCTGTGCCAGGAAACCTCAGACTTCAAGTGCGAGCTCCTAGAAAGGAGTGATTGTCTGGACAAGGCTCAGTCTTGCGCCCAGTGGCCTGCGAGGCTACGTTTACTTTGGCATGACAGCGATAGAAGCCTCTCAAAGACGAGCCGCATGTCTGATGATTTCCCAAGGCAGCCCCAGAAGGAAGCGGACCCTGAGACAGCGGCTTCGCTCCCTGGGGGGTCCTGTGGGGACCCCTGCCCTGCCCGGACTGCACAGTGGGGGAAGCGCACTGTTTACCTGCCTGTTTCCCCCAATGCCGCTCGCACCAGGCGGCAGGCACAGGTGCAGCTCGGAGCCTGTAGAGGTGCATTCACGCAAAGCTGCCTGGGTACGCCCTGGCCGGTGTTCCCAGTGGTTAGAGTGTCGCCCCGCAGACTAAAGGGTCTCGGGCTCAATTCAGGTCAACGGCACGTTCCTCAGCTGCAGGCTCAATCCCTGGCCCCAGTCGGGGCGAGTGTGGGAGGCAACTAGTCGATGTGTCTCTGTCACATAGATGTTTCTCTCTCTCTCCCCCCTTCTACTTTAAGAAAAAATCAATGGAAAAAAATATCCTCAGGTGAGGATTTAAGAAAAAAAAAAAAATGTCTGGGTGCCCAAAATGGGACAAGCAACGTTCTTGGTGCTGGGAATGTGCTCAACAAAATGGGGTCTTCTCCATACAATTTTAGTGAGCAGATTGCTGCCGCTGTTTAAAAGTGGCCTTTGTGACCCTGGCATCACGTGTCACTTTCTGCTGACCCAGGTCGCTGGGGTTCTGGCCGCCACCCCAGAGCCCGCACGGCCCAGGAGCACGGTCTCTGCCCCATCAACCTGGACGGCTCTCCTGCCCCGTCTCTCTGTGCAGCTCGGACACGCACACACGAGATACCCAGTTTTCACAGGTTCATGAAGCTACGTGATTTACTCTTACCTAAAAGCAAAAACTAAGAGATTTTTTTTTACCTCGATGTCATCAATAAGTTCCTTTTTTCTTCGACGAATGTCTAAAAGTTCTTCCCGCTCTTCTAAGGAGAGGTCTTCAGGCACTGAAAGAAAAAAAAAAATCAAATTACACAATTAAACCGCGAGCCTGGACAGCAGCTTGGCCGTCCCGTTCGGGCGACGGTGCATGCCGGGGCTCACCGGGGCGCCAGGCCCCGCCGCGCGGTTTCTAACAGAAACCCACCCGCGTCCCGCGGTCAGAGACGGAGACTTTATGAAAGAGTCCCACACAGTTAGGAAAACGGGCTGAGCTCAGTCTCGATACAGGTGAGCCTCACAAATGAAACAGAGGTGACAAGAGCGGCTGAGGACTCCGCTGCACGTGACCTGACGCCTGTCGCAGAGGGCAGGAAACGGGCACAGCGGCCCATAAGTGCTTCCGAGATGCGCGTATTGCAGCAGGACAGAGATGAACCCGCAGGGGGACGAGCACCAGACTCGATGGCGGTGCCTCCCGAGGAGGCTGGGGTGGCCGCCGTGCCCTCCAGGAGGATGTGGGGCATGTCAGTGCCGCAGGGGAAGGGTAGCCGGGACGTGGGCATTTGCTGAATTTTTTAAATTGACAGAGTGGTTCATTGCAGCCTCTTACTAGTGAGGAACCTCTGCAGCATTTCCTCCCATTCCTACTATGCCTATATTCTCTCTTTTCTTTGATTACAGTCACGCTCTGCTTAACAATGGGGGTCTCCTTCCACCGTGGAATCCAGACTGGCTTTGGGGCTTCCTCTGACCAAGAAAACATGGCCCAAGTGACACTGTGAGGGGCCCAGAACCCTGAACCCTGGAACAGTGAACCACTGTGCTCTGGAGAAGCCCTGGCCAGCAACCTTGAGAAGGGAAATCTATTGCAGAAAGAAACCACACGCAGAGACAGTCTCAGACACCCCAGCTGCCGCAGCCACCTCGGCTCGGGCCCCAGGCAGGTGAGCGAGGTCACCTGGGAGGAGCTCGGCCCTGCTGGCTGCACCACGTGCAAGGACCCAGACAAGAGCAGGCCAACGCCCAGGACAGAGGCGGTGACCCAGTGCTGTTTAAGCCAATCACTTTGGGATACTTTGTTGCACAGTCAAAAAAACCTGATACATTATAGACGAGGGAAAAAGACCAACGCTTAAAGCCTGGACATAAAGAAACAAACAATAAAAAATTACAAGAAGCATGTTTAAAATATAAGAATACCTGACAACTGAAGGAAAAGGGCAGGGAGGGACATACCAGATAAACCTTACGAACAGAAAGTTGGTCCCGTTATGTTAACACAAGCAAAACAGACTAAGACGAAGAGTCCACTAGATAATAACACATTATGCAGCTAATCACACAATGAACATGTCTGAATTTATATGCATCTAACAAAATGGCCTCAAAACACATAAAGCAAAAAATCGGCAGATGTACATGTGAAAGTGGAATTTTTCCATCAAAGGCAAAGAAAGGGGGGAAAGATCTAGATCTGATGTAACATAATTAACAAGCTTGAACCAATGGACTTTAAGACGCACATTTAAAACACCTCTGGAATCAACTGTGACAGGTGCAGGTCTCTGCCTTCATATCTGTGAACACTCGAATCATCGCCTGAGGTACAACGGAGCTGCTACCCAGAGCTTTGGTCAAAAACACAATTCACGCACCAACCACCTGAGGCAGCACCGTGAGCCTGGCTATTGCTCTGAACCATCACTGACGCCTGCTCGTAGGATCAAGAAAGTCTCAGCCCAAGAACCTGCAGAACCCTAAAACCCCCAGACTGATAAAGGCGCTTCTTTTGAGAAACACCACGTCCCCCATGCCTTTGGTGGCCCAGAAGCCAGCACTGCAGGAAAAAGACAAACACCAACTCCGAGGACAAGAGCCTCGGAAGAGCAGGGCAATGGTAACGGTTATATAAAAATCGGCGTTGACACACATTTAAAGAACTCTTTCAATCAGTATAAATATAAATTCTAAGTGATAAGATATTAAGTCTGGTTTTATTGGCAGCTTTTTTCCTTCTTAGTGGAACATAACAATGCGTCTTATAAATGATGGCAACAGACCGAGTCAGATCACGGTACCCAGCAGCTGTGCAACAGACACTGTCCCAGGGCACGCGGAGCCTTCATGCATCCTGTCTGCTCAAGAAAGTCTTTTTTTTTTTTTTTTTTAAATGTATCTTTATTGATTTTAGAGAGAGGAAAGGAGAGGGAGAGAGAGAGATAAAAACATCAATGATGAGAGAGTCATTGATCAAGCCCACAACCCGGGCATGTGCCCTGACCGGGAATCGAACCCCGATTGCCTAGGATCCTAGGTCGACGCTCAACCGCTGAGCCGGGCTCAAGAAAGTCTTAATCAGCCTCCCAGGGCTGGTGCAGTGGAGGCGGTGACCTGGCTTTGCTCAGCCTCTGCAGGCGCCTTACTGGAAAGCAGAGGTTATCTATCTATCTATCTATCTATCTATCTATCTATCTATCTATCTATCTATCTATCTACCTACCTACCTACCTACCTACCTATCTATCATCTATTTTATCATTGAATTTATTGGGGTGACATTGGTTTGCAAAACCATGTAGGTTTCAAGTGTACAGCTCAATGAAACATCACCTGCACACAGCCTCGTGCACCTGTCACCCAATGTCAAGTCTCTTTCCATCCCCACTTATCCCCGCATTGCCCTCTTCCCCTCCTCCCACCCCTTCCCCCCCGGCCATCGCCACACTGTCGTCTGCGTCTATGTGTTTATTTGTTTATCCCTTCACCTTTTTTCCACCCAGCCCAACCCCTTCCCTCCACAGCTGTGTCTGTTCTCTATCTGTGCTTCTGTTTCTATTTTGTTTGTTACATTGTTGTGTTCATTGGATTCCACATGTAAGTGAGGTCCTGCGGGCTCGTCTTTCTCTGAGTGGCTTGTCTCACTCAGCACAGTGCCCTCCAGGTCCCCAGGCTGCTGTGAGGAAGCTCTTACAGCTGGGCTTTGGGTGAACGAGGCTTCCCGGGTGGGACGCGCTGGACAGGACTGCGGGCGGGGTGAAGCCAAGTGGGCCGCGTGCTGCCCGCTGCTCCGGGCTGCTCCGGGCTGGCGGCGAGGGTCTGCAGGCTCCTCCTCCAGCTTCCTGGGAATCGAGCGGTTGCAGCAGCAGGGGTGCCTGATTCAGACTTGAGGACCCCACCCACATGGAGCCCAATGATCCCCGGGGTCACCCAGTAGGAGTTCCTTTAGTGACTCAATGCTGGAGACCAGGCCAGAGCCCACTCCCCTGGCTACTCCAGGGCTGCGGCAGACGCCCCGCCCTGCACCACACTCTCCCTTCCTGCTCAAATGCGCAGCATGCCCGACGCTTCCCGAGGGGCGCTCTTATGGGAACAGCTGGCACCCTAAAGACCACATTCTCTGACCACAGAGCAATTGCATTAGAAATCAGTGCCAAGAGCCCGGCCAGGGTGGCTCAGCGGTTGAGCATCGACCTAGGATCCAGGTGACCTCAGTTTGATTCCTGGTCAGGGCGCATGCCTGGGTTGTGGCTCGATCCCCAGCAGGGGGCGTGCAGGAGGCAGCCAATCAATGACTCTCATCATGGATGTTTCTACCTCTCTCTCCCTCTCCCTTCCTCTCTCTGAAATCAACAGACATATATATATTTTTTTAATTTAGAAAAATAACAGTTTAAAGCCAAAGGAGAATACAGAAAAGCATTCATTTTTAAAATGTAATAAAGCCCTGGCCAGTGTGGTGTGGCTCAGTTGGTCGGAGCATTGTCCTGTACACCGAAGGGTCTCAGGTTTGATTTCTGGTCAGGGCATCTATCTGGGTTGCAGGTTCGATCCCCAGTAGGGGTGTGTACTGGAGGCAGCCGATCGATGTTTCTCACATCAATGTTTCTCTCCCCCCCTTCTCCTTTCTATAAAATCAATAAAAGCATATCCTTTCAAAAAAAAAAAAAAATTCAATAAAGTGCAGGCGCTTTGACAAACTGTGTGGCAGTTCCTCAAAAAATTGAACACAGTGTTTACGTATGACCCAGCCATTCCTCTTCTGTGTGTGCCCAAGAGAACTGAAACTGCACAGAAGCTGGACCACGAATGCTCACAGCCGCCAAAAGGCGGAAGCAACCCCGAAGCCCACCGTGGACAAAGGATAAACGAAGGGTGGCCCACCCACACAGAGGGACATCACTTAGCCATGAAAGAACGGTCACGGACACAGGCTTGACAGCGCAGGACGCTGAGCGAAAGGAGCCAGCTACAAGAGACCGCGAACTATATGATCCCGCTTAGGGGAAATGTTCGGAACAGGCCAAGAACAGACAGCACAGATTTGTGGTGACAGAAATGAGAAGAGTGGCTAACCTGCGGGGAGGGGGGAAGGGTGCTGAAAGCCCAAGGGCAAGAGAACGGGTTCTCCCTGAGCCCCCGGAGGGAGCCCAGCCCAGCCCATGTCTTTATCTGGCCCACTGACGCTGACTTGGGACTTGGGACCAGAACTGCACAAAAATAAAGATGTTTTAAGTCACCAGGTTTGTGCTCATTTGTTCAAGCAACCACAGGAAATAAGTACAAATTTTGATGCCCGAAGGAGGTGTTACTGTAACAAATACCTAAAAATGAGGAAGTTACTTTTGAATTGAATGATAAAGACCCAGGCGATTTCCAAGGACATGCACCTTTAGCCGCACAGCCTGGTGTGTTCTTGCCTCGGCCTACAGGGCAGAGTCTCGAGCCACAGAGGATTACTCCCAGGAGCGAAACCTAATGGAGCACGCTTAATTGAATTTTGAAATTGCTTGGGATCAGTGGCCCCTTCCTTCCCATTTTTCTCTTTTTGGGATGGGAATGTCTGTAACTGCTGTCCTATGCCTGTCCTGCCTCCGTATTTTGGAAACAGACGTCCTGTGCTCTAACTACAGATCCACAAACAGAGAGGAGTTTTGCTTCAGGACGGTTCATACCCAGAGTCTCATCCAAACCTGGCTGAGATGATAAAATCTGGGGCTGGTTAGCCAAGAAATTCAGGTGAAATTTCTGACTTTGATCTGATGCTGTAACTGGTTGAGACTTTTCAGGATGCTGGAATGGGATGAATGTATTCTGAATGTGGGACATGA